TTCTCAGAATTCTGACTTTAATCTCAAAATTCTGACTTTTTTCTCAGAATTCTGACTTTAAACTCAGAATTCTGACTTTAATTTAAGAACTCTGACTTTTTTTTATTGTCAGAATTCAGTCAGAATTCTGAGGAAAAAAGTCAGAATTCTGACTTTTTCCCATGTTAAACTGAAATAAAATTTAAAAATCAGTTAACTTTTTTTTTTCCAGTGGCCCTAATCATCTTCCGTAATGTTCTGCAGCAGTGGCTAACTATGGTAAACAATTTGAATACAAAAAAAACAAAACAAATAAATTCATGAATAAAAATAGAATATGATTTATTACAAGTTATACCCTCATGTCTAATCAATGTTAGAAGGTTGCAAGTACCTGGATCGAACCCAACAGCCTGCACTCTGGGTCCCTGAGCAAGACCCTTAACCCCACACTGCTCCCTGGGCACTGCACAATGGCAGCCCACTGCTCCCCAAAGGGATGGGTTAAATGCAGAGGTTTTCTCCCATGTGAGATCAGTAAAGTTCAATTATTAATTATCATTCCCAGGGAGCTTCTCTAACTGATAAAAGGTGGGTTTCTTTTCAGCTAAATAAAAGAATCTGACAGGTCCTCAGGCATGAAGGGTAGGATTTAAAAGGTATGCATTGCTACAAGAAGTAGAAGCAAAACAGAAATGTTTATAAATAGTGAGAGCTTAGTGAAGAAATTCAGAGTAAAAGCATAAAAAGGACTCTGACTTTATACTTACACCATGAGCAGCACGGCTGGTATGATGAGACCAGGGTTTGCTGCATAGCTGAACAGAGTCCCCATGAAGGCTGGCAGATCCAAGTCAATTGTCTCCATGATCACATCGAACATCTTTGTCTTCCCACTGCATGGTCACACAGATGAGCACATGCTCATATCTAAAAACACAGCTCCATAAAGAGGCAGCTGGTTATGTAAGTTACCTAAAAGGACCGCAGTCAAATGAAGGCGGTAGCGTCATGATGGTGTAGACAACTGGCAACAGGCTCAGGAAGAGGATGAGGAGCAGGAGACCCATGTAGAAGTTGTTGGACTTGGAGGCCTTGAACACTCTCTCATGGGGGACGTTTGTGGCCATCACGGCCCAGCACTGATAGTACATGGAGCTCAGGAGACGAAGCACATTGATGCCAACAAGCCCCGGGGCATAAAACGCTCCCATCCTGACATAAAAATAAAGCTTAATAAATATCTTCAGAGTTGAGATCCTGTTTTTGGGCACCAAATCATTCAAAAAATAGACCAAATTATTTTAGTGTTAATAAATTGAGTTTTGATAAAGTTTAATAACTCATTTTGTTTTCTGTTAATTCCCTATAAAATACTTTTTGGTGATGGCATATAAAAAAATGGCATTCAAATCTCTCTTTATTTACTTTGTTTAGTACAATTTATTTCCTCTAAATCCAATATATTTAGTACAGACATATTTTGATTAAAATACACTTCAGCCGAGTCCGATATATTCCTGTTCAAAACTTTCCAATTTACCTTTGTATACAGATGAATTAAATTAACCTTTAGTGCACAAAATAAGGTTTTAATCTACGGGGTCCAATAGAAATCCAATCCAATATATTGTCGATAAATGAAAATCCTGGGCGTCAAAATGCACTGAAATCCAAATATTTCCAAATTTACTCTGGTTAATTCCACATCTGGTTAATTTTTATTGTTTTATTTATAAAAAGCAAACAATATTTTAGAAGTGGGGACTGCGGGAAGTCAGTTGTAACTTTCTGTTTGGTCAGAGGGGAGAAAGCAGACTGATCAGGAAAGAGTTGGTTGAAGACAAGTGACGACCGATTAATTTTCTTACTTGAGAGATGAAGGAGGGGTCGCTTGGAGCTGTAAGGATTTGATTGAGCGGGCTTGGCAGATTTTATTCCAGAGATCCAGGTGAGTTAGATCCAAGAATGTTGGTACTTGCAAGAGATGTCGTGTTGGAGAGCAGACAGGCAGGTGATGAAGACTGAGAACTGCTAGCCTGACGTAGTCCTACTCAATTCTAGTCAGAATATGAGTCTGATACTGCTCCATAGAGCTGTG